TAATATTTTCGTATAATTTTTAAATATCTAAATTTAAATGTCAAATTAACCTAATTTATTTAATTTCAAAGATTAATTAAATTATTTTTTATAAAGCGAAATATGACAGATAAAAAAAGTAAACTAAAAGGGGTATAAAGTACTAACAAAGAGACTTCTGAAAACTAAGACAAATGGTTTTACAAACAAATATTTTTAGGTTGTTTATATCAACTAATTAAGGAGAAGTCAAGTCAATTAAAGTTCACTTTTACAACAAATATTTTAGTCTTTCATATTGTTCTAAATTCATTTACTCCATGTGTTGAACAAGGACTATATGCATAATCAATTCAATATACAATCCTAACATTGGGAAGCATTTTCAATCTTCTTCTTAGAAATTGTGCAAATTAAACAAGCATTAGAGGACCATAATGCCCAAATAAATTAAATTCAATGTTTATTTATTTACTTTTCCAATTTATCTGTCCTAAGTGGTGTCAAATAGACGAATTAGGTTGAATTTGGAAGGGTAAAGATGGATTGAGATAGTAAATAAATGGATTATTGATCAACTCAAAAATTATTTGAGTTGAAAGTTTGAAATGGGCAAATGTCACATTTCTATGAAGTTTTGGCAAAAAGCTGAATAATTGGTTAAAGATAAAATTTTAATTACGTTCATGATACTTAAATAAAATTGAGCGACCTTTTTCGTTAAAATAATAGTTTAATGTGTTTGGTGTATCCTTATTCATAATTCCAAATACTTTTTACAGTAAAAGTTTGGTGGTCATCCATAAAATTATTCAAAATAATAAGACATGAACCAATATAAGTCATGACAAATTTGAATAATATTTGAGCAAAAATCAAAATATAATTGAAAGTAATAGATTCTTGTTTTATAAATAAATTGATGAAAACTCTTCTCAATCTATGATAAAGAAAGTTGATGTTCAATTCGAGCAAAAAGCATATATTTAGTTATTATTTATCTCAAATTGGAATAATTTTTAATCGTTTTTTGAATATTAACTTTATTACATTGAGCTTAATATGATGTTTTAGATGTGTAAGATTAGAATGAAGACGTGTGAAATTAAAAGAGCAACTTTCACATATAGCAAACACAAAATTCATATTTGTATGCTATAGCAAAGTTTGCATAATTGCGCTCCATAGCAAACATATATATGTATAATTCGCTATACATATACAAAAAAAACAGTTGTATAATTCGTTATACATATACAAAGAAGGCAATTGTATAATTCGCTATACATATACAAAAGAAAGCAGTTGTATACAACTGATCAATTGTATAATCTGTGTATGTATAAAACGAGAAAGAGAGAAAGGCAAAAGAAAACTGGGCAGGGAAATATTTGTATTGTATAATTTATAAGTGTTTAGGACGAAGATATATGTAATTGCATGTGTATATACAATTTTCTCTCGCTTTATACAAATAGAAGCGCTAATTTATACATTTCGTTTCTGTTTGTATAAGCAGGGTGGCGAGCGAGATTTGGGAGAGTGGCGAGCGAGATCTGGGAGAGGGGAGAGAGGGGAACGAAAATATATGTATATATACAATTTCCTCTCGCTTTATACAAACACAAACACATTTTATACATTTGTGTTTGTATAAAAGCGAGAGAGGCGAGCGAGACTGCCACCAAACGAGAGTGGTTTGCGAGATTCCACCAGGGAGAGTGGCTTAAATAGCAATAGTTTGTTATAGGGTACAATTAAATCAAAGTATATTTATAGCATTTAATTTGAATTAATAGTTTGCTATTATATACAATTTTCCCAAATTAAAACTAGTAATTTGGGACTTTGAAATTTGAGTAGAAGTCCAAGAAAACGAAGATTTGAATGCATTTCGTTATTTTCTTACGATCATAAAAATATAAGTGTTGGATTAGTTTAAATAGGCTTAAAGCTATCGACATAATGTTCATCAGTAATGTCAACCCGCAATTATAGTAATTCAGAAAAATCATAGATGTGACGATTAGAAGACTCAACTAAATTGTTGAACTTCTCAAATAATAACAATCGAAATTCCAATTAGACATTCAATCATATAATTAAGTTTCTGTGGAAACAACATCTCGACTAAATCCTTTATTACTTGTGCGATCGCATATATTTATGTATACTGTAGGAGCAACAAAAGTCTTAAATTATATATGTTTAGTATTCATTTCGTTCATTTTTACTTGTCACAATTTACTTTATAGAGTCAAACTATATATATATATATATATATATCGACCAATATTTTAAGACACAGTTTTTCATCTTATTAATATAAAAAGAAGTATTTTTTAAATGTCGAAATGTAAAATATTAAATTAAATTAATTTATTTAACTTCAAAAATTAGTTCATTTACATAAAGAGAATTCTGATAACTAAGATCATTGGTCTTTCTCACTCTTTCACAACTCTTTTTAGGTTGTTTAAATCAACTAATTAAGGAGGTTAAGTCAATTAAAGTTCACTTTTACGACAAATAATTTAGTCTTTCAAAGTGTTCTAAATTCATTTACTCCATGTGTTGAACAAGGACTATATGCATAATCAATTTACTATACGATACTAACATTGGGAAGCCTTTTTAATCTTCCTCTTAGAAATTGTGCAAATTAAACAAGCATTAGAGGACCATTATGCCCATAGAAATTAAATTTCAATGTTCATTTATTTACTTTTCCAATTTATCTATCCTAAGTGGTGTCAAATAGACGAATTAGGCTGAATTTGGAAGGGTCAAGATGGATTGAGATAGTAAATGAACGGATTATTGATCAACTCAAAAATTATTTGAGTTGAAAGTCTGAAATGGACAAAACTCAATTCGTTCAGTTATGGGATTATTACCAAATTTTAAGCTCAAATTTTGATAGGCTAAAATGAATTGAATTAATACATTAACGAGTCAATTATCTGTTCAAACTAGAACATATTATGATTTCATGAACTTATTTTACCACCTCTATGATCTTCGAAACGTAACATCCCTACCAACGTTGAATTTGAGTTTATTTTTCCATTTTGTCAAATAAAGGCTCACAAGACCAACTCAACTTGAAAGTAAAAACCATAAGTAGGTTTATCTTTTTCTCTGTCTAATTTTTTTTTCTGTCACGTTATTCTATGTATTTACTTATCAAATCTGAACAAGTCGTATATTTATTACAGTAATAACAATAACATATTTATTATAATTTTATAAATAAAATACAAATTAAAAAATAAAAAAAATAAAATGTACGTAGATCTTATCCTTACTCTTAAGATAGAGTGGCATATTAATTGTTAAAGAAATTATTAAACTATTTTACTTGGCGTGTATGGTAGAATAATTAATAATTGTGTGGTACGTATATGACATTCTCCTATTAGAAAAAGACAGAGAGACATAGCAAAATAATAACAATAATAATAATAGTAATTTTAAAAGAATAAAATCCCTAACTCAACTTGAATTTGATGGGATATAAACCAAACCAACTTGTTGATAGATAACAAAATTGGATGAATAAGACAAAGTAGATTCAAGTCAAAGAAAAAGTGCTTTGTAAGTTGTAACAAAAAATTGAAGGGTTTTTGTAGAATATGAATATTTTTATATATAAGAAAATATTTAGATTTACTTTCTATTATTAGATTTAAAATTACATTATATTATATTTCGAATCATTAATATTCTTGTTATCGTCTCATACAGTCACACTTATCTTTCACTCTAGCAGTTTCAACATAAAATAGAAAACGTTTAAAATAGTTCAAATACTGATATGATTAAAAAAACACATATTAAATACTTCAGAAAAAACATCCAAATTTACCCATATACTTCTGTTTTTGTTTAAAAGTGATATCATATGTTATAATTCATTTGAACTTCAATGTTTATTTTAAGCTTTTGGGGGGGGGGGGGGGATTAAAAATTTATTTTTTTTTTTTTTTTGTTTTT